TAACGTCGCCCCCCAAATGAAACAACCATCGACTCACATCGCAAACTCGTACACCGACTGCGCATATCTGCAATCGTGCTTTCAAAAAGAAGCACTATACAACGCGCAGCCCCACCTGAACACACACACACACCTATCGCACTCTCACTGGACATGCCCAGCCCAGGCCATCTCACCCAAGAGACGCGACCGATCAGCGCGATGTCGGAGCTCACATGCGACGACGACCTCACACGTTCAGCTTGACGATCGTGCTCTGCTTACTCTGCTTGAGCTTCTCCGCGCCCCTCTTGCAAGCCTCCTTCATGCTCTCCTTCTTCGCCTTGGCCTGCTCTTTCTGCACCTTCTCCACCAAGGAATTGGGGGCCAGCGCCTTCGTGCTTGCCGAACGCTTGTCCGACCACATCTTGAAGTGCTCCTGCGCGTCGGCCTCCGACTGGCGAGGGTTCGACACGTAGCTCGTGGACTTCCACGGGCCCTTCTTGTCCTCCTTCTTGAAGAAGCCCTTGAGCAGGACGTCGGGCATGCAGGCGAAGACGAGCCGAGCCCTCATGTCATCAAGGTTGTCTTTCAATCCCCAAGCGTGCGTGATGCCCGTCTCCTCGGGGACCTCAGCCACGTCGCCGTTGAAGTGCGTCACCGTCTTGAGCTTCCCGTCCTCCTTGTCGAAGTCCAAAGAGTAGCACCCAACGACCGTGTAGTTGATCGAACCATTCCCCTGAACGCCTCCACGAGCCACGAAACGGTGCAGACGGTTTCCACAATGGGCGATGCGCTCGTCACGGTAAGACTGCCACACCTCCACGTTCTTAAACTCCTTCGGGAGCTTCCTCCCAGACGGGATCTGGAGAGCAAAGCTGACCAGCTCGTTGTAGTTGTCCTTCTTGGCGGCCAGCTTGACCACCGAGTCTTCGGTCATGTCGCTGTTCGTCCTGGGGACGCCCACCTTCGCAGACTCGTCCATGCAGGCCAAAGTCTCAGCCTTATCCAGCATCGGCGCGCCCTCGATCGCCTCCTCCTGCCTGCGCGTGCGCTGGTGTTCCTGGAACTTGCCGTACAGCGGCATGATGAGCGAATGGTCCTTCAAGCAGCCATCCACCATCTCCGTCAAGCAGTTGTGGACTGTGGAGGCCGCCGCGTCGCTGGAGTTCCCCTCCTTCTTCGGCGCCGGGAGCCTCAACACCGCAGGGGAGAAGTCGCCGCCCGACTGGAGGGAGCTGCCGTCCGCGCCACCGGTGGCAGTCGGAGGCATGGCGGCGCCTCGAAGAGGAACCTCGGACTCATCAAGAAAACCTTGGGCCAAACTGGCAACGGAGGTCACACGCGGAAACGTAGGCATGGTGGGCGATAAGACACATCCCCCAAACATCCGACCCCCCTCGAAAGCCAACTCAAAGCAAACATAAACCATAGCTGCCAACACGCATCCATTCATAACAGACCGTCCGCATATTCCTAAGCATGTCGTGCCGAAGCTTGTGAAACATGTGCGAAGTTTGTGACGCATGTGCGATGTTGTGCCATGCCCCCCCAGAAGGCCCCACCCCGATCCCCCTACTCTACTCAACCGACAAGCGCTTGACAGGGTACCCCCTAGAATTTGCGACGCACGCTCCGCCCCCCGTCGTGGCTCGGTCTACTGGGGGTGGGGTAAGAGGATGAGGATGAGGAAGAGAGGGGGGGGTGAGGACGAGGAGAAGGATTCGGAGGACGAGTTTTTTTTTTTTGCGAAGTATAACAAACACACTCAATACTGGTCGTGGTTCCTTGTGGTACACGGATACAACCTCGTGTGAACACCCTGCTACCGAGGGCCCTGCGCGGTTCCGTGCCGCGCCATTCCTATCAATTTTCCCCTTACTTCTCGTCCACTCCTATCTCTCGCAGAAGACTCAGCTTGTATCCACGCGATGCGCCGCAGCGTTGTTGCAGAAACCCAGCACAGCAAGGCGGGACGGCGAAAAACTATGGAGGGTGAGGCAACGGTGGGGAAGCTCATCCTGCTCCTCGTGCTCCATCCCTTTCCCACCATCCAATCGTCCACCATCCATGATATCACTCCCCTTCTGGTCACCTATCCACTTCAAGCATCTCCGCCTCCGTCCTTCTCGCCTCCTCAGACATCCCATCGTGGCGAGTCCTGACGACTCCCGAGGCCCAGGGGGCTGGGTGGAGGTCAAGACAAATTGCAAAGGGCAGGGCCTTGTGCGAATGGAGGACAGTCTTCTTCCCATCCCTCCGAGAACGCGCGGACTTCTTGGATCTGCGCTGGACCCCCCTCCCTGGCGCGCGGAGCGCGCCAGGGGCAGTGCCAGAGGCGCCGCCAGGGGGGGCCCAGCGCGGACCCAAGGAATCCGCTCGAAGCGCCGAAAGATTATGTTCATGGCGTTTGTTTCTTCTTCGAGGATGGAGAGGCGGGAAACGAAGAGGGGCACAAGAACGGGAGCAAAGGTCAGGAACACGATGGCCAGGTCACCCAACTCGCGAGGTGCGCGCACCTCCGCGCGCCCCCACGGACGACCTGGATAATGGTGGGCGGTGAGGGCGGCTAATGTCCGAGGGACCGCCAGCAACATCCATCACACACCAACTGGTGCAGAAGAACACGCGCTAATTTCGGACGTGTGGAAGATTGAGCGTGCAAGCTGTACAACCATTCGGAGGCAACTGCTGGGAGGTCTTTCTCGGAAAAGGCAAGCAGGATTAAGCCCCATGGGGGGCTGCTACGCCGGATTGGGCCGCGAATTAAGCGGGACTAAACCAGATTGAGCGAGATTAAGCGAGACAAAAATCGAATTCTGACAGATTTCGGACCAGGGCAACATCAAATCTTGACTTCCCAGGAATTGCATCCGAACAAACAAGTGATCCCAGCAGGCACCAGAGGTGATGCGAAACCATCTGCAGGCAGAGCGCAGCGGATCTTGAAACGGCCATTCCCAACGCAACTGTGGGACAACTACAGCAAATACGCGCCCGATTCAACCACGACAATTATTCGTGACTTCGTTTACGTCGGCGCCAACTATTTGCGGGCGCGTCGACCGTCCATGAATTCATTCACGCAAGCTCACCATACTGTGTACGGCTTGAGCAAGCGGACATCCAGAGCGAAGCAATCTCGGCTAAGCCATGGACAAGCATGCTTGCCGAGGAGACTCTCGGCAGGGTGTGACAAATACATACAGCCTGGACTGCGGGTTCAGCCCGACTGTAGGAACAACGGGCTCTGTACCTACCGATTGCCCTACGCGCCAAACTTTGAGCCAAGGCGAAAGAGGAAGAGCAGGTGGAGCAATCGATACATATAGCTATCCTAAAACCATGGGTACCTATATTCTTAGAAAGCGGATCTGCCTTGATCTCCGGCGCGCGGGCGGGGCTGGGTCCAGAGCGCCCCCCGAGGGCCCAAGATGACCCCAGAGTGCCCAAATAATGGCCAAGAGGGTTCCAAGGCAGGGGGCCTTTCCGATGGTACAAGACGGCCCCGAGTCGCCGACCGATCGGTGCAAGACGCTCCAGATGGCCTCCATACGGCCCAAGAGGCCTCCAAGATGCCCCAAGAGGCCTCCAAGAGCCCACAAAGAGAGCCTCAAGAGGCAAGCATCGTCCCAGGGAGAACATTCATTTTGCGACTTTTCGGTCTTCACCGCGTTCAGGACGGCCCAGGAGGCATCCCAGATCATCCCAAGACGGCCCACGAGGCCTAGATAACGGCTCCGAGACGCCCCCAAAGGGCCCCAAGACGGTCTAAGAAGCACCGAAGATGAGCCAATTAGACCCTCAGAGGGCCCTCAGATGGGTCCAAGAGTGGGAACTCGAATTGAGACTTCGAGTCCTCCGCCCTCAAGGGGCGCCCAAGAGGTCCCACCCAAGAGGCCCCAAGAGGCACAAACGAGGCCCCAAAAAGGCCTCCGAAGGCACCCGAGAAGCCCATAGAGGCCTCCTGACAGGCCCGAGTAGCTCTGACCTCGAAACTCACGAACGACCGCGCGTCATAGCCGTTCCAACACGATCATCTACCGAACTCGTGCCCAAATTAGTGCCTCCTGGGCCGTCTTGGGCCTTTCTTGGGCAGTCCTGGAGTTCACTTGGGGGCCTCCTGGGCTGTCGTGGGAGCCTCTTGGGCCGTGGCGGGCGATGTGAAAGCCCAAGAAGCGAATATGCTAAAAATGAACGATTTGCTAAGGAAAAAAACGGTTTTTGCTCCGTGGTGCCCTCTTCGGGGGCCTCTTGGAGGCCTCTTGGGGCGTCTTGGTGCGCCTTGGGGCTGTCGCGGTGTCATCTGGGGCCGGCTTGGAGCTCTCGTGGGGCGCTTTGGGGGGCCTTGAGGGCCAGCCGCAGGCTATCTTGGGTTGTCTTGGAAAAACTTCGGGTTTTCTGGAATCTCTGGGGGTCGCCCAGGGAGGTCCCCCAGGGGTGGGACGGGAATACAAGGGGGGGGGGGCCAGGGGTCCCGGGCCCGAGATCTGCCTCGTGTCTGTATCTATGCATGCATGTATGTCTGTATGTATGTATGCATGCATGCATGTATGTCTGTATGTGCATGTTATATACAAGCATCCTACAACCACGCGCGCGGTTCTAGCGCATGCCCAGACGCTATCACACGCTATAAGGGCACATTGGGCTCATGTCGCGATGACTCGTGGACTGAACGCCTGTCTGCGTCCCGTAGCTGCGCACAATAATGCTCACAACGACTGCGTCCACATCTTGCTTTACCGTGTCATCTAGCATGTGTACTCTCCCGTCCTCCTCACTGCCTTATCCAATACCTCTTGCTCGTCTCTTCTTTTCGTTCCACGCTCCCCAGCACGTTTTGATCCGCTCCACCGTGGGCGTGGGCTCCTAAGCCCACGCCGTCGGCAGTCCGGGGATGAGGCCAACAGTCCGCGGGTGTTTTGGTGCATTAGATTGGCTTGTTCTGATGCTGGAGCAGATCCGCGACCTCCCTGGCGCTCTCTACTCCCGTGCCAGCGCCCCACTGCAGCAGATGACTTCTGGCCCAAGCGCCCGGAGACAATGCGTGGGGGGACACGGGGAGAACACGACGGCGATGCAAGCAGGCGCCGCTTGGAGACAGGGCCTTGCGAAGTGAGACGCTAGCGGACACTCCCTGGCAGCTGCTGCTCCTCCTGAAAGTAACCGCGAATTCCTCCCCCGACCTCCTGCCCCTCGCAAGACTTGGCTGGCTCCGCCACAACAGTTCATTCGAACAGTGTCGGGCATGTGCCCGTGCCCATGCCAGCGGATCTCACTTCGCCCGAGCGCCAGGAGACGCATACGGAGACACGGGAAGGTATGACAAGGCTGATCTGGGGGCGTCTGGGAAACCTCGTCGGTTGTGGATGTCATGACGATGGGCACCCAAATCATTCAGTCATTGAATTCAACATGCATTTGAAACGTAGAATACATGTTGCCAAAATGTTTGAAACATGTGTTTGACATGTTTAAGACATGCTTAAGCAATGTTTAGACATCTGGAGATTATTTGGCAACATGTTTCCTCTTCGGTTGTTTGATACGCTTCGTGAGCCCCAGAAACCGTGTGGGAGGGGACTCGACGCCGTCGTGGGCTGTTTCGACGGCTGCCTGGTCGGCCTCCGACACCTTTGAGGCTCCGGAGAGCAGGCCCGGCCCCCCGGCTTCACGTCTGTGGTATTGGATCCGGCCTGGGATCCCCCGGGACCAGTTGCCCGCTATAAATACACATGCGCGTGTGCGTGTGTGGAATGTGTGTGTGTGTGTGTGTGGTCATTCGCCGTTTGTGTGTCGCACTAATGCCACATCGCCTGAGCAGTCCCTCTGCCCAGCCGCCGACGCAAAAAGTGTGCAGTGTGTGTGTGTGTGTGTGCGTGTCCACGCGCGCGCTAGGCGCGCGCTCAGATTCTACTCGTCTCCGAATACGTTGTGAGTGCGCATCGCGGTAAGTCCTGGGTGCTGGGCATCCGCTCCAAGGCATCTGCCGATACGACATCTTCCAGGCATCCGATGACCCTCTCCCTCCCAGGCATCCGCCGAAGTAATATCTTCCATGCGTGGCCCCGACCCTTTCCCAGGGGTCACTTTTGAAACCCTGGACCCGTTTCTGATAACCCTGGTGCCCGCAAGCGGGCAGTTCGGGCGGAAATCAGGGAAAACAATCCACATCTTATATATACATATATATACATACATACATAAATATATACACATACATGCCAGCACACACACATACATACATACATACATACATACATACATACATACATACATACATACATGCATGCATGCATGCATACATACATGCACACATACATACATACATACATACATACATACATACATACATACATACATACATGCACACATACATACATACATACATACATACATACATACATACATACATACATACATACATACATACACACACATACATACATACATACATACATACATACATGCATACATACGTACATACATACATAGATACATACATACATACATACATACATACGTACACATATGCATGCATGCATGCATACATGCATGCATGCATACATACACGCATACATGCATGCATGCATGCATGCATGCATACATACATACATACAGACATACATCCATCCATACATGCATACAAACATACATACATGCATGCACACAGGCACACATACATACATACATACATACATACATGCATACATACATGCAAACGTACGTGCGTACATACATACATACATACATACATACATTCACGCATGCATACATACATGCATACACACATACATACATGCACACATGCATACGTACATACACACATACACACATAAGCAGACACACATACAGACACACACGTAAACAAACATTCACATACGTACATACATGCATGCATACATATATACATACATCCATACATCCACACATCCATACATACATACATGCATACACGTACTCACATAGACATAACACATTACGCAGATGGTAATCTGATAAAACGATAAGACGACGCACGACGGTAACACGATACTACGATGAAGCGATGAAGGGGTAGCAGACGGTAAGACGGTCAGACGGTTTTGCGACACAGATCATTGCCAGACGATAAGACGATAAGACGATACATGATCACACAATACCATAAGACGGTAAGACGATGAAACAATAGTACCGTCTTATCGTTTGATCGTCTGGTGAGACCCTGTACGTATGATCGTCTTGTCGTCGGGTGTTCAGTTATGGTGTTATGGTAGGGTAGTGGTGATGGTGATGGTGATGGTGATGGTGACCAAAAGGATGGTGATGGCGATAATGATCTGCGTTTCAATGATGTGTAGGAAAAAAGGAATTCATACGCTGTGCATCGTTGATGGTACGGATGTGTACATGCATGTATGTGCGTCGTCCGGAAGAGGTGCAACATGAACGAGGGCGACGCTCCAGGAGCCCCTAGAACTCAAGCGACGATCTGGTGTCCCCTGGAAATCTCCTTTGACCCGCGAGGGCACCCTGAACCCCCTCGGGAACCTCCTGGGGGGCCCTCGAAACCTCCAGGAACCTCCAGGATAACCCTGGAGCCCTCCCGAACCCTCTAGAAACCAGCAACCAAGGGGACCCTGGAACTCTCCAAAACGCTCGAGGGACCCCCGGGAGGACACCGAAACCCTCCAGTCCTGGGGGGACCCTCGAAACAATTCGAACGGCGCTTCAAGCGGTTAAACGGTTGAGCCTTCGAGCCCGCTGCTTGCGGACTGTCAGCTCGCTGACAGTCAGCTGGCAGCTCGAGGAGGCGCAATAGGACGGCGCGGAGGCCGCCCACTAGGGCAAAACTCAATCAGCGTCGCGGCGGACAAAGAAACTTTCAGGCGAAGCCCTGCCTGGTCTCCCCCACAAAATATCCGTTCTCGGCATGCCTTCGGAGAACATATACCAGGAATCATTATGCCGCCGCTGCCACGTTGGCAAGCGAAGCAAGCAACCTGCTCAAAGGCCCTTCGACCCAGAGCACGTCTCGAGGCAAGTCTCGCTGGCCGTGCCAGCAGCTCTTGCGGAGAAACGGGCTGAACAATGATCGAGAGGTGAAGAAAAGGACGACAAGACCGCGAGGCGCGAGTATCCTGGCGCCGCCGTTGGGTGCCCTGGGAGAAGCCGTTGCTTCCAGTATCTGAAGCCCAGGCCGCGCATGGAAACAAAAACCGCGCGTGTTTTGTTTTGGGATGCCAGGGGCGGCCCCATGGAGAAGGGCAACTCTCCTGCCAAGGCCGCGAGGCGCGATTATCCTGGCGCCGCCATTGGGTGACCTAGGAGACACATTTGATTTCGGTGGCTGTAACCCCAGCCGCACCGGGCAAAAAAACAACGCACATCCTTCGCTAAAGAGGGCGACCAGCCCGGGCTCTTAGCGTAGCGGGGGGCTGCGCTCCCCACAGTGCGAAGCAGCAGTCGATCAGCACACGCTGACATTACGAATGTGTTCGCCATCTGTGTCTCTTCCTCCCTCCCCTCCCTCCCTTCCCCCCCCTCCCTCCCTCCCCCCGCCTCCCCCCGAAACGCTGCGCAAGTTTCCTCGCACTTCGTTGGCACAAAGAAAAGAAGACAACGACGCCGTCTATGCGCAGCCATTGTGTTGTCCTGTCCTGCCCTATGGCGATGACAAAGGCTATGGCTACGGCAATGGCTATAGCTAGGGCTGCGCCTATGGTTACGGCTTTCGGTGTTGCCAAAACGCGCAGAGAATGTTCAATATTATCCGGCATCCATGCCCCAGCGCCAGCTCCAGATCAGCTCCCGACGAGAAGAAGACACGACGATAAGACGATATTGGCCTGCACCAGACGATTAGACGAAACGGCGGTAAGACGATATATGGATGGCGACACCCTAATTATGCCGTCTTATCGACTTCTCGTCTATCGTCTGGTGAAACCCATGTCATAGTATCGTAGTATCGTCGTATCGTCTTGCGAGGCCCTACATCGTCTTATCGTACTATCGTCTTATATCGTGTTATCAGATTGTCGTCGGATCGCTTGGCATTGCATTTGCAACCCCTGTTTCCCATCACGCTGTACATATATACACTTATACACAGATGTGTATTTATGTTTGCATGTCTAATGTTACTGGACCTCTAACTCATGCACGCACATACATATACAAGTGTATATCTACATGCATATGCTGTTTGTATGCGTATGTGTGCAAGTGGCGCGTGCGTGCACATGCTCATACAAAACAGTATATAACATGTGTGTGCGTTGTTTCGTGTGACGTGTGCGTGTGTATGTGGTGGATGCGCCGTGTGCTGTGTTATCAATGGATTGCGTGTTTTGGTCGGTGTGCTGTATGTGCGTTCAGTCCGTGCGCGTATGTCGTGTGTTCTGTGCGGCGTATGTGTGACGTGTGCTGTGTCTTGCGTGCGCGTCTTGTGTGTGAATATATATATATATATATATGTGTGTGTGTGTGTTTGTTGCGTGTGCGTTGTGTGCGTATTGTGTACAGTGTGTGTAAGGTTATGGTTGTTCGTGTTCGCGTTCTGGGTGATTTGTGTTATTGATATGGATATATACATATACGTGAGTAGGTATACACACCTATAAAGTTGTATGCATATATGTTTGGGCGCGCGTATGTTTGTGAGTGTCTGTAAGTGTGCGGGTATGTGTGCGTGTGTGTACGTATGTTGCTATCTATGCATGGGTGCGCGCATTCATGTGTGTATGTATGTGTATGTATGTGACTGTAGTCATGTATCTTTGTATGTATGTTTGGATGGATGGAAAGGCGCGGGCCCCGAACTCTTGACGTCGGGCTGCTCGTAGAGGCGAGGGCGGGGACAGGAACGGGCCGGGGCCCCTGCGGGCCCCAAAAACTTGCCGAAAACGGCGCGTTCCCCCGAAACGTCGACCACAGCATTTCAACATCAGTGGCCTCGGCCGGGATTTCGGCCAGGGGTCCGACGGGTCATCCGCTGTCCCCGGGCTCGTGACCGAAATGGGGTTCTGCGGTGCGGATTGGTGTTGCGTTGTTTTTGTTGCTTTGAATACGCGGGTCTGGAACCTGTGGATTGTTCATCCCC